TCCAGTTTATTTCAGAAGCTCGTCCCGTACAAGTGAAAATTACAAAATACCAATTGAATTCTGTTACTAAGGAAGGTTTTATTCTTCAACGAACTCTTTGTCTTTCACACATCTTTCACGGATTGAGGGTAGCATAAATAGCTCAGCTCGAGAATAAGGAACTGACCAAAGTGCTAAAGCTTAACGCGACTAAGAGGAGAAGAATTGTATATCACTTTACTAGCAAGCCAAGGTAAACAGAACTTAAATATAATACATGGAAAGCTAGGGCTTAAACTCTGGTCAACGTTCTGTCCTAAGTTTGGCCCTCATTATGGATACATGTGTTTTAATGTAGTTTAATAGTTTCTCTTTTACAATTTTATCATAAAAACCACAAGATGAAAGGTTTTTCGCTGACGCTTCTTGGCGCTACCTGTTTGATGTTTACGTTCCCAGCTGGAAAGGGGTGAGTTATAAATCTACTTTGGTTCTAGCTTGATTTATTTTGACGATAAACAAAATGTTTGGTCAATTGCTTCTTTTTATGTGGGGTTCGTTTGGCAGAGTGTAATGTCCAAAGGTCTTAACATAGGAGAAGGTGAAATACGGGTGAGAACTGCAGGAAAAAAAATCCAGTTAGACGGTCATGGTCAGGGGGGTATTTTGTCTAAGGCCGGTCTGCAAATCTCATTATTTAGAATATTTTATGGCTTCAGTTGCTTTTTAACTTTTGTGCCGTTCGAATAAGGCGTAATACTTAGCAAAAGTACTGGATACAGTTCAAATGTTACGTTTGAATTTCTTAGGCAAGATGAGCTTACCCGCGACTTGAGTGTTGATTATCCCCGGGAGATGGAAGCCAACTATCCCCACGACATGGATGCTAATCAGTTTCCCCGAGACATGGATGCTCATCGCCCCAGAGACATGGATGTTCGTCAATTTGGGGGTATACTTTTTGGTGTCCGAGACGAAGGTAATGCTGTTAATGCCCGCGTACACAAACAAGGGAGTACCGATCTCGCCCCCCAAAAAGCATGATTACCAAATTAAGCAGTCTATGCATGTTTCAATAAAATGCCTTTTTAAGCAGTTTGCTTCCATCAATGATTCTGAAAAATGAACTGCAAGGGTAACTCAGTGGCCTTAGCAATGTACCTGTACGTCACCAAGAGCCACGACACCTGAGAGATTTTTTTTTTTTTTGCTCGCCTGACTTTAAATCGAAAATATACTGTCAAACTTTTCACGCTAAAATAACGAGAAACCTTTTTTTTCAAGGTACATTTCAGAGACTCGTGGAACCGTTCTTAAAAATTAATTCGCGTTGATCATTATTAACCAGTTCAAGCTAGTTCAATACCTAATAGGATAACTTACTTTTTCAAAGTTACAAGATACATTTACAGTTTACGGTGTTTAGATAAATTTTTGTTATGAAAATTCTCACAATTTTCTAGCACCATCCACGTTAAAGAAAATGCTTTGTGGCGTCACTGGAGAATAAATGTCACGTGTCATTCCAGTTGTATCCATGTAGTCTTCCTGTGTTCTTACTGCAAGAGAAAAAAATATATACATTTTTACTGGAACAACTCCATCCGTTGCCTCTAGGTTTATCGGACAACTTTTCGCCAAGACAAATGCAAAGTGCATGTCTTGGACTTCTCCGTCCCTCCCTGACAGTCTAAACGGTCGAGTCGGGGCACGCTGACGTCATAAACATATTTCCCCTTATTGTTAGGTTTCCAATTACAATAGAAATTGGGGCTTTGCCGCGCTTGCGACCAGTATAACATGTCTCGCGGGGTCAGGTTTCAACTTATCGAGGCCAAGCGTCTTATAAGGGTTTTCCAATGACAAGTCAGATTAACGTTAGACTGTTCACAGTCCTCTATTTTTCCGTAAGATCGTCGAGATGGAGCGCTTTGCGTTACGGGCTGCCATCTTGTATGAGTGTCAAAACCACTTAGGGGGCGGGGGCGGCCCGGGCGGGTTGGGAGGAAGCGAGAAAAATAGAAATACCTCACGAAAAAATTGGTTGAGTTGGCCGACAGTCGGTTTAGGGAGGTTATTCTTTACAATTACCCCAGTCGGATGTTCCGCACTCAACTATGAAGGACTCGTGGCGAGCTGGGCCGGCCATATACAAGGTTTATGTATGACATGCGTCCTGCTTATTGCAAGGATCAGCAATGTCGAAATCGTCATGTATGTGATATATAAAGAAAGATGGCAAATTTTAAGCTCGGTGAAGGAATTTAGAGGGTCATAGGTTGTTGGGCATTCAGATGTTTTCTTTGTCCCATGCTCGTGACATGTTGATCACATCATTTCTTAGCTTGAATGCTGTTTGCAACGAAAATCCGTCCTGATTACCAATAACCCAAGAAGTGAAGTAAGTTTGAGGTTTTAAACTTACTAAATTCAAATAATTATAATTTTTTTAGCAGCGGAAAGTGAAAGTGTCAAGTCAAGAAAGGCCAGAACAAGCAAAGATGCACAGAGCGTAGATAAAGTAATATGAACGATGTATAGCGCATTTGTGCTGAAGTTCAGATTCCCTTTGTAGTAATATTAAAATCAATTCAACCATTGCTTGGTAAATCAATAAAGGAAGGTTAATAACCTGTAGCAAGCTACGTCTGCTGACTATATGTCTAGGGGAAAAGAAAGGCTAATGATCAGTATAAGATTCTGTGAAACTGATGACTACCTACCCTTCCCCTGTACTAACCCAACATTTTACCCAAAGTAAGAAGTTTGTCTTGACAGAAAACAAGCAGTAACGGGGTGTCTCTTAAAGAAACTGGAGTAAGTTATGCGCGGGGGTACTATAAATTTTTGCGTTTTTAATAGGTGGTGCCCAAAATGGAGAATAAATTAGGTTTCATTCAGATTATTTGTTCATTATGATTATTTGATCAGTGTGGGGGTGCTTGTAACCATAAAATTGGAGCAGGAATAGCAACAAATATCTACGATATAGATGTGTAACTTCTACATCATTGTTTACTAAGGGTGTTGTCCATTTCTGAAAAAACTTTCGGAAACTTAGATGAAAAGGTTATCTATTTAGTTAGTCACTATGAGAAAAGTACTATTTGAATAATTGAAGCAAGTTTTTAACGCTGGCAAAAAAGAATCCATTTTATTTTAGAAGTTCGTCCCGTAAAAGTGAAAATTCCAGGATACTTTAAAATGTGTCTGTATGCGAGATTATAAAGGAACGTTTTATTCTTGTATGAACACTTTGTCTTTAACGCATCTTTCACTGAATGAGGGTTGCATATTTAAATAGTTTCGAGAATGAGAATCGGACCAAAGTGCTAAAGCTTAACCCGACTAAGAGGAGAAAAATTGTAAACATTTTACTTTTGCAGAAACCCAAGGTAAACAGGGCGTTATGTTTGAAACATGCAAGGTGAGGCATTTACCTCTAGCTGGTCAATAGTCTGTCTTAGTCCTTTTGGCCCTAAATATGGATAAATGTGTTTCTCTTTAACATTTTTATCATTGATGTAAAAACTACAAGATGAAGGGTTTTTCACTAACACTTCTTGGCGCTACATGTTTGGTGTTTATGTTTTCAGTTGGAAAGGGGTGAGTTATAAATCTGTTTTGGTTTTATCTTTCCAAAGGGCTTTATTCTGACGAAAAACAAAATATTTGGTCAATTCCTTCGTTGTGTGGGAGTAGATAGACACAGTTTGTTACGTCCAAAGATCATAAAAAAGGAGGAGGTGTCACGGTGACAGGTGAGAGCTACAGAGGAAAAAAAAATTAAAAGCCAGGTAGACTGCCATCCGCAAATCTCATTATTCAGAATATTTTGTGGCTTCAGTTGATTTTTTTAATTCAAAATTTAAAATTCGGAACGTCTGTAGAGTTTGAACAACGCTTTGCCCCGTAGTAGACCCATCCCCTCCAGTTGTTTCATCACTGCACCAGGTGGTTCTTTATGCCGGCTTCGTTTTCTCCTCCCAGTTGGAGTCCATCTCATGGCGACTTTGGGTTTCTTGTCACTGTACATCCTAAGGACATGACCAGGCCATCACAGCCTGCGGTTGTTAATTTCGAGAGATATATTCATACTATTCGTCTTCTTCACAGTTCCTCATTGGTGATCTTGCTGGGCCAGTAGATACCGCAGATGTTACTCAAGGAAGACCTTGATGTCCTTTTGAGCACAATTTTCACTACTAATAATTCTTCCGAGATAGGTGACTCCAGTTCGTCACCACTTATGGTGATTGGTGGTGCTGTAGAGGCGTTGACATACACAACTAGGTCTTTCTAAGTTTGGTGTGCACACTGACATCTATCAGAGCAGTGTGCAAGATGACCCTTCATTCGAAGTGTTCATATAGATAACTTCCTTATAATTGTAACAATGAAGTTTTGAATGTATGAAAATCATATAATTATGAGAACTGCGGGGTGAAGAATTATATGAAAGAAGATCATTGCATTTATAGACGCACCTTTTGCAATGCAAAGTTTGTTTGCTAACCGTACAACTTACTCGTGGCATTTCTTATTCACCATTTTCACCAAGACCACAATGGACCTTACCTAACCCCCCCCCCCCCATCTCACCAGATGTTTTAGAACCATTGTCTTCGACTTCTCTTGAGACGGCTGTAATGCCCAGGAGAAATTGGAAACGATGGTTATATAAAAATATTTGGGGATAAACAAGGTGCATTATGATCTCGGTGAAAATGCCGAATTTAAGAATTTTTTTTGTTTAAGAAATGTGAACATTCGATTAAATCCCCTTAAAGTGTTCTTCTTTTTATTGCATTCTGAGGTCCGTTGGTTTGATCCTCAATAATTTCAATTGGGCTGTTAGTATCCATGGTGGAGTCGTTGGTGAGCATTAGAATGACCTGAAAAGGAAAACTATTGTAGTCTGATCTTCCTGTGCTCTTACTGAAATAGGAAGCACTCCTTGGACATAAAATTAAAAGGCTCCGCTATCTAAGTCAGTGTAGTTGAGAGTAGTCCAAATAATCAAAGCAAGATCTTAATTTTAACAAAAGAAAAAACAGACCTTTCACATCAGGTCTATCAGACTCTCTTGCCTACAGGTGAAAATTTCAAAAATACAAATTGAATGATGACCAGTTTAAAAGAAATTGACATAGTCTTCCTGTTTTCCCTTAAATGGCTGCTAGATGTTAAACACTCCTTGGAAATCAAATTATAATAACTTATCACGTACGTAAGACCTTGGTATCTTCATGTATATAGTAAGTCATTAGGTAAAAACTCTTATAATCAAAGAACTTGCTTTGATTAAAATGGTCACAAAAGAGAATCCAGCTTCCTGCAGAAGCTCGTCTAGTCTGGTAGAACTGTAAATGTCAAAGGTAGTGATGCAAGGTTACTAGGGAAGTTCTTTTCCTTAAATAAACACTCTGTCTTTAAACGTCAGTCAAGAAAAACGTATGTTTCACGACGTGGAGAAAGCATAAATAGCTTCGTGTTGGTCAAACTTAGGTCATGCAGATATCGACTGAAAGTCATCCTTAACGCGACCAAGAGGGGAAGAATTGTCACTTTACTTGCATTGTTGAGCATCCCAAGGTAATTAGGCCTTTAGTAGAATACGCAGAAGGTAAAGACTTGAATTCTTGTCAACTTTCTCTCTATTCCCTCTTGAACCTTATTAAGGATGAATGAGTTTTAACGCAACTGGATTGTTTTACATTTATTACTAGAACTCCATGATGAGGGTTTGTTATTTAACGATTCTTGGCGCTGTGTGCTTGGTGTTGATGTTCCCAGTTGGAAAAGGGTAAGATATAAAAACAAAACAAAACTGTATACCATGAGGTTACTTTAGTATTAAAAGTACTTTAGTTTTAGCAGGGGCTTTTTCAGTTGGGGAGCCATCCCACGTTTTAAAATCTTGATTCTGGTTAGCTCCCCAAATTTCACAGTTATAGGATAGTATAGGGGTGGTCATGGTGTCGAATATTTTACAAGCCAAGGAAGGTTTTAATCTCAAGTGTTCGAGAGACACATTACAATTACCAGTTGAGGAGGTTCGGGTTCCTAAATGTGTGGTTTCGTGTACAATATCAATGGTCTGGTTCCCTATGTAGAATTCTAAGTCTAACTTTTTCTTTACGCGTTTTTGAAAGATCATAATTTTGGTCTTTTTACAATTGATATCTAACGTCCAAGAACATCTAAAAGAACACAAGGTGTTTAGACAATTTTGCAAACCTACTTTAGATCGGGATAAAATAATCAGGCCATCAGCGTATAAAACAGAATTTAAAATTTGGTACCGTTTAGTAGAATGATGGGATCTGATAAAGTATTTTGAAATGGATATGGTTAGTCGTTAATATATAATAAGTTTGAAAAGCAAGGGGCTTAAGATGCAACCCTGGCGTACACCTCTCAAGTAATGGAAGGATCTGGTTTGACTCCTACCAATTTTTAGGGTGCATGAGGAGTTTGAATATAGGTTCTGTATTAGCTTATAGAAATATCCTCCTACACCGATTTGCAGTAATTTATGTATAAAGAGTTCTTCATGCCAGACGGAGTCAAAGGCCCTTTTGAAATCAGCAAAACAAGCGTATATTTTTTGACGAGGACCATCCACGTACTTGTCTACAAGAGTTCGTAAGGTTAGGACATGATCTGATGTTCGATTTTTCTGATAAGAAACCGATTTGAGATTTATGAAGTACGTTCAGCAAAACGACATGTCCAAACAGTCTTTGAAAGAAATTCAGGACTTTAAAACTTCAGGCTTCTTACGCAATTGCATGAGTTGCGTTCACAACTGCGAGGATTATTCTTCATTTGAGTGTTTAGAATATTTGTTGCTTCCGTGGTGTTCTGTTATTGTTATTCAAAAGGTAAAATTCGGAATTTTTGAGAAGTTTGAATATCAAAGGAGTTTTAAAACGTTTCAAAATAAAAGTACTGACTAAAGGCGCTTCCCATTCAACCCAAAATTCCGACGAAATCAAATGCAACGGACAATTGCAGTTCAGTTAGTGCAAGACCGGTCTGGACATTTCGGACCGACCGACCGAAATGTCCCTTTCCTTTTTACAAAACTCTTGTCCCCAGTATCGTATTTGTATCCTGCTTACAAGAGCAATAACCAAACGCGCGGTGGTGGTTTGGGTCGGATCTGTACAACCGGGATGTTCCGTTCCATTAAGCTCATGGAATTTCCGAAATTTCAACTGACCGGAATTTTTGTTGAATCGAAAGCGCCCTAAAGCTTAAATGTTATGTTTGGTTTTCTTAGGCAACACAAGTTAAACAGAGACTTGAGCGCTGATCATCCCCGAGATATGGACGCTGATTTTCCTCGGGTTATGGACGCTGCCCAGTATCCCCATGATATGGACGCCGCCCATTATCCCCATGATATGGACACTGCCCAGTATGCCCATGATATGGACGCTGCCCAATATATCCATGATATGGACGCTGCCCAGTATCTCCATGATATGGACGCTGCCCAATATGCCCATGATATGGACGCCGCCCAGTATCCCCATGATATGCCCCGAGACACGAATGCACGGCAGTTTGGAGGTGTAAATGTTGGTGTTGGAGACAAAGACAACGGTGTAAATGTCGGCGTAGATAAGGAAGGAGGTGTCGATGTTGGCGTTGGAGTCGGAGGCAAGAAAGTTGGTGTTGGCGTGGGCAAAAATGGCCTGAAACTTAATATTCCCTTGTAAGTATATTGGTTTTTAAAAAATTTAATAAATGCAAAAATTTTGTACCATAAACTGCGTTGAACGGTTTCAAAATCTCTGGTATAGATGAACTCGTCCTTGCACTAATATTTACAGTTGGTGACAGTCTTTTGTTCTAAAAAATTGGACGTAAAGTTTAGCCGTGTCTTTATCAGATATAGAAACACTCATTTAACATCAATTTCTTTTGTTTTTTTCTTTATGAATAATAAACGAGTTTTTGAAGACTTGGATATATAAACGGAGGGTCTTTTATCCGAGGGGGGCTTATTACCGGACTTCGAAACAAGATATACATGCTATACTGTGCTGATTAGGTTAAATAGGTTTTGCATTTATTGGTTTTCAATTAAGCCTCAAAACGTAATAACAAATCGAATTTTAAAAATCCGAGGGGTCTTTGATCGGATACATTCTTTTGTTTACAGGTATATTGGCTCATACCTGAGGGTGGGGGTGGGGTAATATGTGTGATAGCTTATCTGAGCGGCAGTTTATACATCGAGTTTACATATCCCACTGCAATCAGAACTGCTTTAAACGGGCGAGCAGAAAAGTAGTTGCCATACCTTTCCCCCTCTCCCACCAAAACACACCACCACTTCCGACGGAATAACTTGGCAATACTTCTGAATCTACATATATACAGTGAAACCTGTATTAAGCGGACACCCTCGGGGAGTGCTGTAGTGTCCACTTAATACAGGGTGTCCGCCTAATACGGGTTTCGCTAGATAACGTCATATGAGATGTCAAATGCCATTCAAATGAACAGAGGAAATGTTAAGAATACTCCCAGAGACTTTGACGATATACGTTTGCCTTAATTTCTTTATCAAAGTGGACCAATTGGTCATAGTACCATAAACATAGTTTGCATTTCAAATTTGAAGAAATCAGATAAGTGAAACAAGCTCTCAGATACTGTGAAACTAATCAAATAAGTTCGTCAAGTCACCTTTTTTTAATGTAAAAGTGGAAAAAGTTGTGGGTGGCAATTCGAGGTAATCTTTCCAGTGTCTGGCATGTTGGGTAGTGAAATTTGATTACAAGTGTCCGTTTAATACAGGTTGGCAACAATAGAAATGACTATTTCAGGTACTTTTTAGGTGTCCGCGTCCGCTTAATAGAGGTGTCCACTNATAGGGTAATCAGCTGGGTGTACTATGGGCCTCCCGGCCACACAAAGTGACAACCTCAGCCTCGCTGTGTTTTGTTTTTCTCAGTATTTAAATATATCTATCATTCATTTTAGCACAGGTGACGGTCTGTTAAAGAGACTGTCCCTGTATTGCGTCATTTAATACAGTGCTTTATGGACACTTTGGAAAGTTGGAAAAAGTTAGACATAAATAGCTGCCTGGCATAAAACAGCCAGCATTTTTCTTACCCTAGCTTCTAACCAAAACTTAGAATATTCGCAATCCTCCATTTTGTCAAGCAAGTTTCAAAATTAAACAAGAGCACTTGGCCAGTTAGTCTGCTACACAACCGTTTTTAGTATCGTCACGCAAACGTTGCGTGACGACACTAAAAACGGCTGTGTAGCAGACTATTGGCCAGTTAACTGACATCCACACAGGGTGGCAAAGGGGAGTACCAAACACGCATCAATGAAAAATAGAATAAAATATTAAATACATTAACAAGTATCCGATTATCATTTGATCTGAAGAAATCAGACGTCGAGGAACGAGAAAAAAGGGCAAGAAGAAGTTGGTGTCATAACCATCTATTTTCTAATGTCTCTGCTTCTAGTTTCAAATAATATGAACTATCACGGAAATTTCAAAGAAAAATCATGCGTCACGCTTTGTGAAAATAGTAAATCACGCATTACGCTGTTGTTATGCCCAGTCACGCCTCACATGGCTAATTGGGCCAAAGCACGCATCAAGTTCATCTGATAATTGGGGTCCCAGACCATCACGCGTCAAAAAGATAGACTCGCTATTTATTTTTACAGGGATACCCAGCGGGAGCCTCTGCGGAGGAGAGAGCCGGAAAGCCCCCAATAGCCTGCAAGCAAGCTCTCCTAACGAGTCTCGCGAGAACGCGCTCTCGCTTGCTAAAATAGGAGAGCTTGCTCGCAGGCTAAGCCCCAAAGAAAGAAAATTACTGATCAAAAAACAGGCTCCCAAGCTCAAGTTTGGTAGTTTAAATAGCCCGCAGCCGTTTCTCCTCGCTCCTCGCCGCCGTATTCGCGGGCTACGTCGAGAGTGGAACAGTAATTTATTTTCTCACAAGAGAGTTAGTGTCGCGTTACAGNGCATAAAACAGCCAGCATTTTTCTTACCCTAGCTTCTAACCAAAACTTAGAATATTCGCAATCCTCCATTTTGTCAAGCAAGTTTCAAAATTAAACAAGAGCACTTGGCCAGTTAGTCTGCTACACAACCGTTTTTAGTATCGTCACGCAAACGTTGCGTGACGACACTAAAAACGGCTGTGTAGCAGACTATTGGCCAGTTAACTGACATCCACACAGGGTGGCAAAGGGGAGTACCAAACACGCATCAATGAAAAATAGAATAAAATATTAAATACATTAACAAGTATCCGATTATCATTTGATCTGAAGAAATCAGACGTCGAGGAACGAGAAAAAAGGGCAAGAAGAAGTTGGTGTCATAACCATCTATTTTCTAATGTCTCTGCTTCTAGTTTCAAATAATATGAACTATCACGGAAATTTCAAAGAAAAATCATGCGTCACGCTTTGTGAAAATAGTAAATCACGCATTACGCTGTTGTTATGCCCAGTCACGCCTCACATGGCTAATTGGGCCAAAGCACGCATCAAGTTCATCTGATAATTGGGGTCCCAGACCATCACGCGTCAAAAAGATAGACTCGCTATTTATTTTTACAGGGATACCCAGCGGGAGCCTCTGCGGAGGAGAGAGCCGGAAAGCCCCCAATAGCCTGCAAGCAAGCTCTCCTAACGAGTCTCGCGAGAACGCGCTCTCGCTTGCTAAAATAGGAGAGCTTGCTCGCAGGCTAAGCCCCAAAGAAAGAAAATTACTGATCAAAAAACAGGCTCCCAAGCTCAAGTTTGGTAGTTTAAATAGCCCGCAGCCGTTTCTCCTCGCTCCTCGCCGCCGTATTCGCGGGCTACGTCGAGAGTGGAACAGTAATTTATTTTCTCACAAGAGAGTTAGTGTCGCGTTACAGGCGACCGTTGAGATAATTTCTGAGAAATGAAATACTGAGGTCTGCGAAAGCTTTACAACATTATCATCTTTTACCTTTTTGTATGAAATAAATAAAAGAGACTTACCTGTGATCTATTTCTGTGTTTTTTGGTGTGAATTCATCGATTCAGTCGACTCCTTGGCTCTATTGTGGGAATTCCATTCACACCAAGCTATCTCGTGCATGCGATATCGTGTAGAAGAATATCGTTTTTTGTAATGTTTATTATCTTTTCTCTTTTTTTGTTTCCCACTCTTTATTTTTATTTTTTTTATTTTTGACGGCCTGACAATTTGCCACCCGTCACCCACCACCCGCTACCCGCCACCCGCCACCCGCCACCCGCCACCCGTCACCCGCGGAAAAGTCCTGCCGCAATCAAAGGTAAGCCTGCGAAAACAGCCGTTTCTCCTCGCTCTTCGCCGCTGGGGACGTTTCGCGTGGAGGAACGTCCTCAGCGGCGAAGAGCAAGGAGAAACGGCCGTTTCGCAGGCTAATCAAAGGTAAGTCTCTTTTATTTATTTTAAAGAAAAAAGACAAAATATAATGATATTTAGCGTTCCCAGACCTCATTTCATACAACCGGTCTCAACGTTCGCCAGTAACGCGACACCGACTTTTGTGAAGATGAAGTCCTTAAATTTTTATTTTATGGTTTTTAATCGCCCATTGTATGCTCCATTGAGCGTTTGGGCCATTTTTGTTTACTCATGGAAATGCCAATAGTGTTGTTGTTGTTTTTGATTGCACGGCGCCTGTACAGCATGCCCTGAGGTCAACAAGATTCAGTCATAATTCTGCGGCTTCGGCTTCTTAACATGCAGTACTTCACTGTTGATAGCCTTGGAAGTTGTTTTCCTCTGAAACTTGCTTCGTTAACTCCCAAGGGTGTAAGAGGCTTATAGTCTTATCTTACATGTGGGGCATTGAATTTAATCCGGATATGACGTCGACACGCTTGATTAGTCAACTGCTGACTGACTCCTGAACAACTTCGTTCTGTGTGTGTCCTAACATGGCAAGGAAAACTACAGTTTTTCGTCGGGGTTTTGCCCGAATACTAGCGATTACCTTTCTCATTCTGCAAGGTGCAATTCTTGATTATTATCTGATCACTGAAGAACGCTCCATGTGGAGGTTTGCTTGGCTCACAACAGATGCTATCGTGTTTTCCACGTGGGTTTACACAATGTGGATGTCGCACAGAAAATCACGGAGCGCTTTGGCTAAAGATGGAATGAAAATTGCTTACTTCGCATGGATTGTCTATGCAGCACATTTAGTACCACAAGTGGCGACTTTATTAAAGCTCAAAATCGAGGCTTATAATGACGAGAAACATGTTTTTGGACCTAACACACTGAAAATGAACCTATGCCTGACGCCAATGTTGTTTTTATTTCTTATATACGCGCATCACGACGCAAAATCGCATTCGCGACGGAAGTATTACTTAGAGAAGATAACAGCAGCGGTTGCCTTGGATTTGTTCGACAGTGTCGAAATGCTTGAATATCTTTTTGACAAGGAAGAGATCTCGCCTGAACTGGAAAATGCCATCTTGGCCTTTTCCTGCATGAATATTTTTCTCCCAACGTTTGCTTTGTTTGAACTGAAGTATAACAAGTTTCATGACAACGGAGAAATTTCGCCGATCTCTTTCAAGTTTATTTACATTTGTAGTTTTATGTTTTTCGTTAACGTCCCTTTTTTGGTTTTAAGGCTGATTTTGTGGCATGGATATCACTTGA